TATTTTGCTAAACAATGCTACTGAATTACTCCTTATATTTGCTGACACAAAATTCTCAATACGGATAGGTAAAGGGCTCTCGTCGTAGTAGACATATTCATAAGTTAGGTCCACACTCGCACCCACAAATGGATCAACATCGTGGTGAATTTTTTTTACAGTGGGTTCTATGTATTTATTTTCATGGCACGACGTTATATACGACAATAAAAAAGAACTGTTGTAAATGTTCGATCTAAAAAGAAATTAAATTCATTTAAATATCGACAGTTACATTTTTTTTTTTAATGTTAATTTTAAATAATTGTTAAATTTGTTTTCTATTAAGGCCGATTTTTTGGAACTTGAAATTTGATTCTAAGCGTTTATATTTTTACTGATAAATCTAACTAATTTTCTAAAAACTTAATAAAAAATCGAGCCCTCTTAAAAAAAGTAATAGGTTTATCATAAAAACAAATATAATTGAAATCCGTCTAATAGACTCGTAAGCGTCTTCTTTTGTCAAACTTAAAAATTTTGTAACTCAGAAGCTTAATATATAATTACCTTCAAATTAGTTGGAATATTTAAAGTGGCTTCTAGATCAACTTTTGTCAAATATTGCCTATAATGTGCTCCTTAATAAATAACCTTAATATATAATAATAGTTATATATTTGTATAATCCTAATATTACATATAATTATGTTTTACTTGAATCTCTTGAGAAAATGTTAAGTGATTTAGCGCATTGGTTAACTCGGAGGTAGTTGGTCTGCGTACAACCGTTTCATATAACCGTCCATGATCTTTATTTCTTGAATCTTCATCAATTTAATCATCGACATTCCCATTAACATCCGTTGATAAAAAGAAAATTAAATTTAGTATTAAAATATTAATGGTTAAATGGTGCCTCATAATGTTAAAAACTATCTCTCGCAATTAGGCAGCACTCACAAGTCGTAAAGATGTGTTTTCAATAGAATGAACACGTATAATACAATTTGAAAACAAGTCATAGTCGTCATCGTTTCAAATGTAAAAAATATTTACCTGTTCAGCTTTCAAATATTTGATCGTTATGATACATGGTCTTGTCTTTCGTATAAATTCCTTACGAGTAAACAATAGCAAAATGTTTTTGTCGCCTGAAGTGTATAACACCATAATATAGAATAAAAATTATTCGATTTGTTAACATAATCTGTTGAGACCCTGCTCGTCTTGTCTTTGAATAGAAAGGCTCAATGCAAGGCCTAAAATTGTTTGGATTTTCAACATTAAGAATTCTTGAAATTCTAATATTTTTATATGCAACTCCCAAAGCCAAGAGCTCGCTAAAAATTTCCCTTCGTACGACATTTTTATCATATGATATACGTAATCGGTAATATCTTTCAAATATTCATCGTCATATTCTGCGATCTTTGGCAACATGACATTCAAACGTACGAAATTCTAGCATTGTATTTCTTGGAACTTGCGGCAAAATTTTAATTGAGTAAAAATTCTAATGTTTAGTGATTGCTTATCGTAATTCGAGGTCAGTAGTAATATTTCGGCGTCGGTAAATTTAATGGGTTAAGAAGCAAATGTGCTGTATATGTTTAACAATTCGATAAAATAAATTGGATACGGTCCAATAAAAAAGAACTGCTGCAAATGTTTGATCTAAAAAAAAAATTAAATTCATTTAAATATCGACAGTTACATTTTTGGAACGAAGTTCCTTATCGCGGGTTGGTGAGGAGACCTAGCCGAGAAAAAATGTAACGCGTTACGGAAAAGCGTTATGAAAAAGTTTTTCAGCCGAGTCTGCAACCACGAAAGAACATTTTCATGTCTCGTTGAAGTACCGAATAAATTTAGATTAGTTGTGGAATTATCAATTAAAAAAAAATTCAGCTTCCAGTTACTACAGCATAAGGTAAGGTAAGGTTTGCCTAACCTACAGCGTATTTTTTTAAAGCGATCTACTCAATATCTCATAGGGTTTTTATCAGGAAAATTTTAAGTAGCTATTATTGAAAGAATCACAGCAATTCCACGGGGAAAGACGGAAGTTTACGTTCGCACCTTTTGGTCTGTATTTAGTTTAGTACACCCAACTAAAAACTTATTGGACCCTAAATAAATCATACATTTTAGTTGGTTCGATAATATAATAATATAATATAATTATGGTTGTCCCAACTAAAATATCAACTATTTAGTTTTTTCCGTGTAATAGGGTTACGAGATATTGTGGACCAGACTTAAATACAAAAATTAACTTACATTATAATATTTAAATTTTACTTATTACTTACTGGTGTGAGTCATTAAGATAAGTAGGGTCAGTTATTTATATATTTGTTATTTTATTATGTTATTAATTATATATTATAATAAAACGCCAAGTAGAGTGAGTCATGAGTGAATTAATGGGTATGAATATAGTAATAACTCTTTTGTATTATGATATAACATGTATTTCAATATTTAAATGTATTTTTATCATTATAATTCATTCAGATTTATTAAGATAACAATTAAAGATTGTCAAAAGTAAATTTTTCGATCTGCACGAAACCTAAATCTAAATGATAATTTTTGATAACCTTTTTTACGAGCTCTTGAATTTGAACTTTAAATTGATATATGATATCCAGCTTGTTATTTTGGGGAAACTTGCTTTTAAATTTCTGTATTAATTTTGTGATGTTCGGGTTTTCTTTTGCAGGCAGTCTGCAACATTTCTTTACAAATGGGCTTAAGAAATACTGATTATTACTATTAATTAACTTGAACAATTTTGTGAGAAATCCACTAACTTTTTTCTTATAATTCACATCAAGTTCGCCGAAATAAGTTGGAAAAATATGTTTAAAATTTATCGATATATCTTTGTACCACTTTACTAAATTTAATAATTTTCTTGTATGTCTTATGCTAGGATGTAATACAAATGTCTCGGGATCAATTAAATTGTATAAATAAGTTATTGCGTCGTACATGTGCTCAAACATCTTCTGACTATCCGATAATTGTTGATACGTAAAATTAAAAATTTTCCACGCAAAGTCAAAGTCGTAGTAAGACTCTTTACAAACTTTCACAGAAATACCATTCAGTTTGCTATCTTTCTTGTCATCCGAGGTATTTAACTGGTTTTCCGAATTTTTCTCAAGCGATTGATGATCATATTGAACTTCAGTTCTCGATCGCTTACCAAGAATTTGTTTACGACCCATTTTTTCCTGACGTTTGTTTAATCTGCATTGTCTCTGAAATTCTCTATCTTGAGAATGACGTCTTTCATACACATTTACAAATAAAATGTTTTTAATCAAATTTGTAAATGTATCCGTAACGTTCGCGTATACACATGCTAACAAATGATTGGCCATATAGTATTTTATATACACGTTTTCGAAATTAACATGAGAATATCCAATGTTTTTAGTGCGTGGGTACAAACCTCTGTGAATATATATATCGTTCCCTGAAAACCATTCGTTTGCAAAATCTGGTCGTTTGGCTTTTACGTCGACGATCTGGTTCCATTGTGTGTGGCCCAAAAGTGCAGTAAGTACGTCCGGAAGAGTTGTTTTGTTCGCATAAGGTGAAAATGCTTGTTTATTGTTTACTAATGTGAAATACAAGAAACTCACTAACACTTTGCACAACATTGTATTTAGTACAAAAAAATTAACTGAAACTTGATTTTTATAATATATTTTTTCAAGTAAAATATAAATATTATACGGTGATCAGGAATTCATGTTTTCCGTTTGCATATAATACAATAGTGTATTGAGTTAAAAAAAAAAACGTGTTGTTACTTGCTGAAGTGTTTTTTAAGACACTTGTTCATTTAAAAACAACTGCAATATAATATTATAATATAAAATTATACATGTAGTAACATAGTCTAACATAGTCTGTAAATAGTGTATTGTAAATAATTGCATAACATAAGTTAAGAATTTTAAGAGAAACTTACATCCCAACATAATTACAACCGTTAATGCATACTACTAATACTTACATGTGTCCAATACTACCACCAATAACCTACATCAGTTATTAGCCTGTTTACGCGTTGTACGCGTATGCGTTAATTTTGTTGTTCGTTGGCGTTCCACTCCCTCCTGTTTTTGTTGTTGTGACCGTCCTCCAGGGCCGTATTACCGCTTAGGCTATGTAGGCTAAAGCCTAGGGCGGCAAATTTTTTTTTGGTGTGACCCAAAAACTACGTTGAGATATTATTTTTAAATATAAATTATAAAAACATGCAATAATATAATATATGAAATAATATTATTAGTTATAAAGTATAAGAAAATGTATGTGTAGGTTCTAAAATGGTATGCAGTGTGTAACAGAAATATATGACAAATAACAATATATATATATATATATATATAATACAATAGTCGACCGGGCGGAAATTCGTTGCGGTAACGGCACGGCGAATAGGCCACGGAATTGAACGTATTATTTTATTATATTAATAGTAAATCGTAAAGGAAAGAAGCATTAAAACCCGTATCCCATAATAATAATTATTATTATAGTAGATAATGTACAATGTGGGGAAATTTCTGCGATAAGCGATGACGCCTCAAATATTATATCTAAATTATAAGATACTCGTACTAGGTTTATTATTTTGTTATACACCACGCCGTAACGAAATTGACTGGTCGTTCATTTGCATTTGTTATAAAGCAGCGATTTCTTAAGCCTTAAGGTATGTACTTTATTGTATCAATTAATTATTTTATTTTAACAATAAATTAGTGTAACAAATTTAAAACGAAATGTCTTAATATACGTTAAAGTTTATGTAGGTTTTGTCATTAATAAGCGTTTTACCATAAAATAGTACGAGTTATGCATTTTATCAATTCTTAAATATCAATACGAAATCGCAAATTTAATATTAAATATTATCATTATTATTCTATTATTATTTATTAAACATACTAATTTAATATCAAATGATATTATAGATCAACCTGTCTATAAAAATGAAACGTTCTAAGTTAAGTGGAGGCAAATATAGCAAATTGGCCAAGGAAAAATTGGAAAAACAAAGATTGGCTTTAGAAAATGTCCCGAAAATTAAGACACTATTTAGTAAGGAAGTAATTACGTCAGAAAGTGTAAGTCCAAAAATATCTTCTAGTGTCATAGATTCCGGGGATATTGAAACAGTACAAATTGTAAATGAAAAAAAAATACTTATTTTAATGACAGTACAGAGATAGAGTTACAAAATAAAAATGTCTCTTCCAGCATCAGTTGAATATGTCGACGCTAAGTCTCGCGTTGTAAGGGTCATAACTAAATTGACTAAATTTGTACGTGCTTCGATTGAGTTTAATGATGACCGCTTGAATTCTGAGAAGCGTGCAAAAGTTTCGAAAATGCTAACGGAAATGAATAGTTTGCGCCAAGCCGTTGAAAAGGACATCCAAATAATGGAATCCTGTGTCGCAAAAAAAACCGTTCCAATCGATGTCGTCAATAATACTAATAGTAATTCACTGATTGATTCGTTTGACACTTTTTATTACGATCTGGCCGCTTTTGCTGATGTGAATAGCATGTCGTTATCTCCCAAAATGGACTTATCGGCATCACAAAGCATGTTAGGTAACCAATCTGTTGTAAATAAAAGTACGTTAAATATACAGCTTCCAAAGCTTAAACTTCCGTCGTTTTCTGGTGTGCTTACCGAATGGCAAGGTTTTGAAGATCTTTTTAAGTCAATTTTATCTCATGCACCTGATTTGCCGGACGTCGAACGATTCGAATATTTACGCACTGCTCTTGAAGGTGAACCTTTGTCGTTAATATCACATCTTCCTTTAACGGCATTGAACTATAGCAGTGCTTGGGATATTTTAAGAGCTCGGTACGGCAATAAACGTGATCTAGCACGCGTACATTTTGACGCTCTTTTATCTCCCCACGTTGTCAAGTCGACTGATAGTTCGTCAATAAAATCTCTGCTAAATTGTATTTTGGAACACACTGCTGCGTTGGATAATTTAGACTTCGTTACACGACATTGGAGCCCTATACTCGTCCACATCTTTGAAAAGCAGCTCGACTATGATTTACGTTTGCGTTGGGAGCTGGCTGTCGGCGAAAAACAGTATCCGAAACTTAGTGACTAGTGACTTTGTTGATTTTTTACGACGGCACATTCGCTCGGCTGATGTTCACTCAATAGCTGGACCTTCGTTTAGTCTGTCAAAACCCGTTCCAAAGACAAATAACTTGTCCAATCTCAAACCACGTTCCATTGCATCGTCAAAGGTTTTAATGACTACTGCTTCTCAGCCACCTGTTGTCAACTGTCCGTTGTGCAAAAAACCCCACTCGTTGCGAAAATGTTCAGATTTTATTGTAAAATCCCCAAATGAGCGATTTCAGTTAGCGAAGACATATCGTTTTTGCATAAATTGTCTTGGTTCAGGTCATTCATCTGTGTCATGTCCATTGAAATACAAATGCAAAACGTGTCAGCGTTCTCATCACTCCATGTTGCATTTTGAAAAAAAAGTTGATTCACCGCAAACCGAAACTGTCAATACTGCGTCTTTTATTATAAAAGACACAACAAAGCAAACTATTTTATTGTCCACCGTTCTTTTAGATGTTTGCACTTCTGATGGTAAACGCCATACCCTCAGGGCGTTAACTGATAGTGGCTCACAGGCCAGTTTCATTACAGAAAAATGTGCTGTCAATATACTGCTTCCTCGAAGCCACTCTCATGTAAATATTACCTCCTTTGCTAGAAGTGACTCTACTCGAGTGAAAGGTAAATCAACAATCATTGTTGCACCGTGTGGTCAAAAAACACCTTTGTTTTCTGTAGATACTTATATTGTGCTCCAAATTACTGGACCAACACCGCAAATTCCGATTGTACCAGGGAAATGGACCCATATACAAAATCTACCTTTGGCTGATCCGTTTTATCATCGCCCTCAAGCTGTGAATTTATTGTTGGGAGCAGATATATTGCCATTACTTCTCCTTGAAGGCAAAACATCCGGCCACGCCGGTGAGCCGATTGCAATTGAAACAGTTTTTGGTTGGATTCTAATGGGTCCCGTTGACGCTTGTGATCGTTCTACTGTTAAGTCATTATGTTTGTCGGTCTCTGAATCTCTTGATTCAACAATAAAACAATTCTGGGAACTTGAAGAATTACCTTCTGTTCGCCACCTTAGCCCTGATGACGTTGCTGCCGAAACCATCTATCAGAACACCACAACTCGATTAGATTCTGGTCGTTTTATGGTTACGATTCCATTTTGGAAACCCGTCCCTTTGTTAGGTGATTCTAAGACAAACGCTCTTCGTCAATATAAATTTTTAGAAGTCAGACTTAGTAAAAACAACGATCTTCGTAAACAATATGTCGAATTTATGCAAGATTATCTCACTGCTGGTCACATGGAACTTGTCCCTCCTGCAGAGAGAGACAAAGTGTATTCGTATTATATCCCTCATCACTGTGTACTGAGACCGGATAGTAGTACGGCGAAGCTTCGCGTCGTGTTTAATGCTTCTGCGCGTACAACCATTGGATTGTCACTCAACGAGAGTATGTACACAGGTCCTAAACTTCAACCGGATATCCAAATTGTTTTGCTTCGTTCTCGACTCTGGCAATATTTGTTTATGGCCGATATTAAACAAATGTATCGCCAAATCTTAGTGCAACCCGCTGATCGGGATTACCTAAGGATATTTTGGCGATTCTATCCTAATTCTACGATTGAAGAATATCGCCTGTGCACGGTGACATACGGTACCTCGGCCGCTCCTTATCAAGCCCTCAGAACGATTCGTGAATTGGCCAATGTCGACGGTAAACAATATCCATTAGCTGCTGCTGTTCTGCTAAATGACACGTTTGTAGATGATATTCTGACTGGAGCTAATTCTACTGAAGATGCTCTTGAGTGTCAAAGCCAGTTAATTAAATTATGCGCTCTTGCTAAATTTGAGTTAAGAAAATGGATTAGCAACAATGATCAAGTGCTACAAGCCGTTGCCGATGACGACCGTGCTATGTCTCCGTTTATTTTATTTAACACCGGTGAACAACACGAATTAAAGGTCCTTGGTTTACGGTGGGATCCTGCCACTGATGCGTTTTCATTTAAGAGGACGTCGCAGTCAAATATTTCGAGTACTAAAACACCGCTTCGGACTTCAAATAGTACTCAGAAACTATTAATCGTAGAATAAATCTAAGGATACCTAAAGAAAGCCTGGAATGTCTACTATGTGCGTATAGAGCCATATTTCCAAAAAAAAATTGTTTACTTATAGTTATTTCAATAAGAATTTTTACTTTTTTCAAACGTTTATAAAACCATTGTAAATAAAGTTATCGAAAAAAACTCTCTATAGGCACGTAGAAAAAGTTCTGATCTTTCATATGGTACTATAAACAATTTTCTACCACCAAAAGCGTACGAGTACTATTTGAAGTGCGAAGGGATGTTTTTTTAATTTTTATAATAATTATTACGTCGAGAGCTGGCGCGCCTAGCGGCCAATTTATTACATATCTTTATACGTTCGGAAAACCGGTTTTGGGCCAACTGCCGTAGCGCGGCGACAGCGATAACGTCAACGGTGACACCGCAATTATATTATTACCTGAAGTAAAAACAGATAACCCAATTTTTAACAATCAATTCTCAATAACAAACAAATATTATATTTTACTTGCGCAGCGATACTGTTATTTAATATTTGCTATTTTATGTTCATTATTTTATAGAGAATTAGCTGAAGAAGCCAGTCGCTAAGTCGCTTGTATGAAAAAGGTAGCAATTGTAGTAAATTATAATTTGTAAAAATTGTGATTTAAAAAATGGTTTAGGGAACGGGGGGAGGGAGGGGGTTATTGCACACTGTAAAAAAATCGGAAAAATATTCAAATACCTCTCCGAAAAACCGAAACATTGTAATACAATGTTTACACCCCAGACCAAAATTAGTGTGGGGACCCCTCCCCTCCTCAGACCAAAATTGGAAATTTTTAAGTTGCTATGTGTAAATTAATCAACAGTCAATTTTTAGTTGCAATAAATCATATAGATCAGTAATGTATTTTAAACAACATTTTGATTTTTGGGGGGTCTCCATTTCTTTTTTGTATTACCTGGTGTCCGTAATTTCTATATTCTTATTTTTCGTAAAGACGGTTTTTTACTCTCAATCTAAGCCACCCCCCTCATTCAATGCCGACCACTAAAAACGTATTTATCCAACATAAATATTTGAAAAATGAATTTGTCAAACGTTCTAAGTGCCAAAGTATAAAAATTGAACTTTATAATTTAAATTGTATTTTATCCATTACCGGTGTGGTGCACCGGTCGGATGACCGCGTACAAAACACCGTAAACGACCAACGTTTGTAACGAAAAACTAGGAGTAGGTTTTTTAATGAATATGTTAAACTTTTGAATTAATTGTAATAGACATATAATAATGTTTAATAAATTTGATATAATAATAATGTTTAATCAATTTTGAAGTTAATAACTGAGTAGTGCAATCAATCCTATCGTTAATTGACTACCGACTACTCGACGCCGTCGCTCTACTCGAACATAATCAAATAATCAATTAAAAGAATAAAGTATAATTAAATTATTACAAGGGGACACCCATTGGTCACGTCTTAGTGACCATGCATAGACGCGAAAGGAGGACATGCCCTTATAGGGACCCATGTGCACTACGTGGGTTTACTACACCGGAAAGATTTTTGTAAATTTCAAGTAAGGAATAGATATTTATTAAAAAAAACAATCATATTTAAAACTCAAAAATATGTTATGTTTCCGCTAGTGAAATAAAAAAATCAAATTATAAAGTTCAATTTTTATACTTTAGCACTTGGAACGTTTGACAAATTAACTCTTCATTTATACTATAATTTATTTTTCTATATAATTACAATTTATAAATTAAAGAGTATTACTCACAATATATCTCAATTATGATTTCGTATTCTATTTTTTTTTTTTTTTTATAACAAAGCTAAATTCCGCAATAATGTCGGCGGTGACCACCATAATTTTCGGGATAACAACAGATAATCTAAGCTTATCTAATTATATTATTTGTAAATATTGTAGAAATATGACTTTACTTGGGAAATACTGTATTTTTGTTGCACAGAGAAGCCACATTTTTATTTTTCCTATTGTGTTGTGTGTTTTATAGATAAAAATTATAATACAAAATTTACATATGTACACATTGTTTTTTTATGAAATAATATTAGATTTATATATAATTATTATTTAATGAAATAAATCATAGAATATTATATATGACCCGTCCAGCACTTAAAGTTTATAACGGATACTCGTACCATTGTACAATTATTATTCTATTGATGAATTTTTATAAACATGTTTTCAATTATTAATTTTGGATTTCTAAATGAATTATCAGAAAGCTGAAATGTTTTACATAAAATACTGATTTTTAATGATTTTGTTTGGTGACCTATAATACTATAAAAAAAAAACAGTAAAAAAAAAAAAAACTAAAATATTCAATGCGACCATGGCCAATATAGGCTAAGCAAATTTGGAAACACGTATTTTATTGTAACAGAAATGCAAAATAAGTATGCTCCAATATAAATGTTAATAAGTAAGTACGCTATACGAGGTACCAAGTTTATTCTGATATCTGAGAAAATTATTTATACGCTAAAAAAAAGTAATTAAGTTATCAGAATGATTCAAACTATGATGGGTATTGTATTTTCTACTCTGTCCATTGTTATATAAATGTTAATGAACAGTAGCTATAAAAAAGATTTACTCGAGATTGTAACACGCGCGCGAGCTCGCGAAGTAGCGAATGTTTACCGCGACGAATCATACGTTGTCAGCATAATATTAGTTTTTACTAGATCGGCAGTCGGTGATAGAATAATGTGCCGCTCTGATAATACTACAACGCGCCGCCGCAGCACTCGTATGGGCGTGACTATAAACCGCCGCCGCCGCGCCGAGACGGAGAATAACGCCATCTCTCGGGAGTTGTATACGTAACACTTTACCTGCGACGTCCTCTTAAGACCAATCCATCTTCACATAAACCTACGAAACGATCGGTGCTTTCGGACATTGCGCGAGTTTTTGACCCTTTAAGATTATTGTCTCCTCTTACTTTTTGGACAAAGCATGTAATACAACGTCTTTGGACTTCCGGCGTAAATTGGGATGACACAATTCCCCAAGATATAGCTACTATGTGGGCGAAATATCAATCAGAGCTCAAATTAATTGAACAACTTTTGATTCCCCGTCGTATAACGTTCAATGATGCGTTGTCTATACATCTTCATGTTTTTTCTGACAGTTCCGAACGAGGGTATGCCGCCGCAGTATGTCTTCGCGTGCAGACCTCAACGGCTGTATATTGTCGGCTGGTAACCGGCAAATCGAAAGTCGCACCACTCAAACGTTGTACAATTCCTCGTCTTGAGTTATGTGGCGCTGTGCTGGCTGCTAAACTCTTACGTATGGTGATTAATGCATTTACTGATCGTCTCAACATTGATGAAACACATGCTTGGATTGACTCCACTACAGCTCTGGTTTGGATTCGTTCTTCCCCTCATCGTTGGGCCACCTTTGTGGCAAATCGAACGAGCCAAATCCAAGAATTAACATCACCGACTATTTGGCGTCATGTTCCTACTCAACATAACCCGGCGGATTGTGCCTCCCGTGGTTTATTTCCCTCGGAGCTTGTGAATCATTCAATGTGGTGGACCGGTCCGTCATTTTTATTACAACCGTCGGATGAATGGCCACCGTCAGTATCGCCTTCGCTTGAAGATGACGTCAATCTACATCCCGAGCTTCGCCAAAAGACGGTACTGGTAGCTACCACATCATGCCTCACTGAAGATGTTCTGGACCGTTTCTCGTCGCTCGATAAAATCCTCCGCATAATCGCCTATTGTTTTCGAGTTCCAAAATTTAAATCGTCTTCTTCATTTTCACACATTATTGAGGCCAGTGAAATTGCGCGTGCTCTATCGGCACTAACATTCTCTGTCCAACAAATTGTTTATTCGGATGATATCATACGATTAAAAAAAGGATTAACTTCCTCAAAAAATATCCGCCGGTTAGATCCTTTTATTGATGACGATGGACTGGTGAGAGTGGGCGGTCGTCTCACAAACGCGGATATCCCCTACTCGCAAAAGCACCCGGTTCTGTTGCCATCCCGTCACCGACTTACTGAATTGTTAATCGATTATCACCATCAACGTCTTAAGCATCCTGGTGCTACTGCTCTTCAATCACACTTACAGAAGGAATTTTGGATTCAATCCGCTAGGCGAGTAATCCGTTCTCGTTTACGACTATGTATCGCCTGTTTTCGAACTCGACCAAAACCTATTCAGCCAAAAATGGCTCCTCTTCCTAAGTATAGGGTACAACAGGTCAAACCGTTTTTTGTCTCTGGAGTCGATTATGCAGGACCCATTCTTATAAAAGATACACGGGGACGTCGCTCCTTTTGTACTCCGGCATATATATGTTTATTCGTATGTACCACTACTAAGGCTCTTCACTTGGAATTGAGTTCTGATCTCTCAACCGAAAATTTTTTGCTAGCTTTTACCCGGTTCTCAGCACGTCGTGGACCCATTAAGGAAATGCATAGTGACTGCGAGACCAATTTCGTTGGCGCTTCGCGCCTCTTAAATCCAATTCAACAACTTACACACTCACAAACGTTTCAAGAAAATGTTCGAAGTCACTTGGCAAAAAACAACATTACTTGGCATTTCAACCCTCCTGCCTCCCCACATTTTGGAGGATTATGGGAAGCAGGTGTAAAATCTGTAAAAAATCTTCTTTGTCATTCTGTTGGCCTACATAAGTTAACGAGTGAAGAACTCATTACTCTTCTCACACAAATTGAGGCTACTCTGAACTCGCGACCATTATGTGCGCTAAGTAATGACCCAACGGATTTTGAAGCGTTGACACCTAGTCATTTTTTGACTCTTGAACCATCCACAACGCTACCCGATCCGTGTTTAAACAATATCCCTTTGTCAAAGCTAAAACGCTGGCGTTTGATAACTAACATACATCGATTTTTTTGGTCAAAGTGGAGAAATGAGTATCTCTCGAGCCTTCAACTTAGAACAAAGTGGTCAAACGACGGAAAACCGTTGTGTG